ACCTTTAAGAAGGGGGTCCAATAGGAGAAAAGTCATTGGAGGAGAACCCTGAAGTGGGCTCTTGGGATACTGGCCCCATCTTCTCTCTGTTTTCACTTCCTTGGTGCCAGGAAGAGAGCAGCTTCCTCCACCAAACAACCCCACAAGGATGTGTAGCCTTCTTACAGGTCCAAAACAATGTAGCCAAGAGATCATGGACTGAACAGAAGTTTCCTTTTTCAATTCGTTATCTCAAGTATTTTTTCACAGTGACAGAAATATGACTAACACAAATAGGCATCTAACTAAATCTGAAAATATAATTTTTATAGGTCAGGTACAGCAACATCAATGTTGTGGTAGGGAAAATGGAAATAAAATATCCCTATGTCATTCACAAACAGTGGAGAGATTCCCTAATAGGAAGTGAGAATCCTGGAAGAGAAGAAAATAGGTGGGTTGTATAAATAATTTCTGCTGGAGAAATCAAGGTCTAAACCCTTTTAAGTTTGTATTACTAAAGAAGATCGAAAGGGAGAAGAAAGAGAAGCTCAAGGTGGAGGGAATTTTGAAAATTAAAAAACATGGTTGGAGACAAAATGAGCAATTTTCATGGAAAAGAGTGGAACAGGAAGGTAATTATCTCACTCAAAGCAGATATTAAAGACATTCAAAGGCCATAGAAAATGCTTATCAGGTCACGATTACAGATCATTAGAACTGGTAAATCATCTTTAAATCATATCGATTTAATAAATACATTCTCTCCGTTCTCTGTATCTATCTATCTATCTATCTATCTATCTATCTATCTATCTATCTATGTATCTATCTATCTGTCTACCTACCTACCTACCTACCTATCTTTCACTTCCCCTCTCTGTGTACTCTTATTTCTTAAACAAATTAGGAGCTTTAGATCCAAAAGGATGATTCTCTCTGAGTCAAATTACGAAGCTTTGGATAGAGGTAAGGCTAAAAATTTAGACCTCTTGATTTCTACTTTGATTTCCTTTTCACTTGAGTGGGTGGGTACAAAAAAATTAGCAATGCTACAATAAGATATATTAACCATAAGTCAGATCTTTTGATATATGTCTAAACAGAGAGTACATAAAGATCATAGCAATTAACTCTGTTTATCTCCTGTTGTTTCCTACTTAATAAATGCTGAATAAGTATAATCCATAATGACCAATCAGATTATGGTTGAGTTTCTACACAGCTTTGATTCTTTGGTCAGCCCTTTGATGGTAGGGTCACTTAGAGGCCCAACCCCTAAGCCTCCTTGAACTTCTACCTCAGTCCCCATGCCAGCCACCCCCTGCCATCAGTGCCCCAGAAAACAGCAGGAGATGGTAACATGTTGAGCAGGCTTCATTCTCTAACCACCACTCGTGATAGATTCAGACAGTTGCTCCTAATTAATGTTCAGAAATTCTTCTTTCTCCTAATTAATCCTCTGGAAAATTCCACATTAAAGCTGCTGTCAACCTGCCCACCCTCCAGCCTTATGTATGGTTCCAGCTTCTGAGCCAACCCCATCCATATTTCATAGAGAAGCTTAAAGCTTGGGGCCATTTTCCTTTTCCTCTCCCACCAACTATCTATGTACACACTTTGGGCACATTTCTACGTGAACCTACACACTCACTCTCCTTCCTAAATTAACTGCTGCCCCTGCCTCCTGGTCCTGTTTTCCCCTTTCCCCGCCCTTCAGATTTGTTCTGAGTGTTTTTTTATTAGCACATGTTTGTAGTACATAATTATTACATTCCTTTACCCATTTGAAAAAGATCTATTTCCCTAGTTCTTATGATCTATATTTTACTCTTTACTTATATTTTGTATTTCTTGTATAAAAGAAAGTATGTGATATTTAACCTTGTGTGTCTGATTTATTTCACTTGACATTATGGTCTGAAGGTGTGTCCGTTTTTCTACAGATGGGTTTATCCTTCTTTATGGCAGAGTAGTACTCAACTGTGTGAAAGTACCTCATTTTCTTTCTCTGTTCATCTGTGGTTAGATACACAGGCTGCTGTGAGGTTTAGGTATCATGAATTGTGCTGCTATGAACATGGGTGTGCATGTATCACTGTGATATGATACCTTTAACCCTTTTGGGATGATACCTAGCAGGGGGGCTAGGTCAAGGGTTAAAATGAATTTCTAGTTTTATTTTTTTGAGGATCCTCCACATTGATTTCCATAGTAGTTACAGCAGTTTGCACTCCCATCTGCAGTGCAGAAGACAGGGGTCCTTTTCCCTACACCTTTGCAGCGTTTGTCATCTCTGTCTCTCTCTCTTCTATTTTCAGATATATTTCTCCACCTCTCACAGGTCTCCACCTCTCACAGGAAAGCATCCTTGAGGCTGACGCTCATTTATCTGACTGACCCGTGGACAGTATATTAACTGTCACTACTGCAGTTGCTTCTATTGCCTACCTTCCATTGCCTACCTTCTCTGCAGATCTGCATTTTCAGCCCATTGACACATCTAGATTCTATTCTATGAAGATTATGTGTCATAATAATGACACCACTTCATAATAATGACACCACTTCATATTCAAATCAGTTCTACCACTCCCTGAATTTCCAAAACCAAAATGAAAATATGCTCTCATCTCTTATATATAAAGTGTGAGAGTTTAAATACTACCAGATTACTATTAGAAGAAATAGGTTACACTTTACTATATGGAATAAATGAATAATTTAAAATGATGTTAGCAATTTAATGCATGGTAAATAATATTTAATATTTATAAAAACAATATATTAAAATATCAAAATTTTATGTTATAACTTTACATTGCATTTATAAATCCCTAGTATACAGCTTAGAACATAATAAGTCCTCAATAAATGGTAGCCATTGTGGTAACTCTTTGTACAAAGTTACACAGAATTAGCCAAGATGTGGACAATTGTAAGAAACAGTTGCTCCTCTTCATTCTAAGGATGACAACATGGGAAGAAATATTGAAAACACAGCAAAATGAACTCATAAAGTCAGATACATAGTGAAAGACCAAGCATCACAGAAGTTCTAGGTTGCTTTAGACTAGAGTTTCTGGGAAGAATAGTACCAGTAGCCACTCTTGAAACCAGACACCCTGAAACATGGGAAATCCCCTACCTACAATTAAAAGGACATCATATTTATGCTGGTAGGAGGATGAATGTATCCACAAGGTGATAGGTCAGATTTGCTCATGTTCTCAGAACAAATCCTACAGAAAGACTAAGGATAAAGCTCTCAAACCAATCAGAAGGTTATGGGAGTGGTGGAAGCAATTAAAACTCCATATTTACACTCATAGTAAGTGCACAGTTAGCATGATTCCAAGAAATTCCTTGTGCTACACAATAATTGAGATCACCTGGGGTGTTCTGGATTTAAGGTATTATGCAACAGTAGTTTATTATCAACTCATTCAAGTGCCAAGTCCCAATTAAAGAATATTTATTCCACATGAGCTACAAAAACATGTTTGAAATCAGGCTTATGTTAGGAAGTTTGATTTCAAGAAAAATTAATTTTAAAAATCAAGGTTTACCCATACTACTTGAAAAAGCATTTCAGGTAGCAAAAATCTATATTTTTAACCTCATCCTGGTAAATGTTATCAATCTATGACAAGGACAAATGAGACACCTCATATAGTTTATATAACATTTTTATGTTTCTAAGTGTGTTACAATCATGAGTGAGTTTTCAGGCACACCTGTACTACCCTGTTAGCCAAGGTCTTTTCAATGTTAACATTGTCTACCATGGTGTTGACTGTCTAGACATGATCAAGTTAGGATTTAAGAGAACTATTACAGTATTTACAATATCATCTGTCTTTGTATTTTTTGGTTTTTCTTATATATATACAGACCTTCTTCTGTTAAGCTACTCTCATTTTTAAGACGAGCCCAGTGTAAACCAAAGAGCACAATTTCCATCACACTATTACATTCACCTGAGCATTCTGACATGCCTACTTTAAAAAAAGAACTTCCAACACACGTTCAAGTTGTTTTCCAGATAATGCTAAGCATGGCCATCATCAAGAAGTCTCAGAAAAATGTGATGGTTTGCAAAGAACTGCTCTGATGAACTACAGTGAGGGTGTTTTGGGAATGGAAAATAGAGGCTAATCCAGCTGATGAACAGGTTTAGCTAGCATTCTCTAAAGCTGTCAGTAATTACGCATAAGAGATTTATGTATGTACAATAGGGAGATATGAGATGAAAAATTTTAAAGTTGAGTGAAAATGCAACTGCCAATTCAGAGCAAAACTGAGATGCTGTCACAATAGTACCGAGGAATAACAGTGGTCTCTTGCTGAAGACTTAGGTTAAAAGTCTGCCCCTGCCCCTTAGTCTCATCTGTGTTATTTGGGTTAGTTATTTATCCCCTAAAACTTCATTTTCTTTATTTCTCCACTGTCTGACAGGACTCTTTACCATCTGAATTGTTTTTAGGAATAAAAGAGATGTACAAAAACATAGTAAATTTTACTAATTAACACTCTAAATAAAGTAAACACTATAAAACGTTTGCATGAAGCAGGTGTGGTGGTGCACACCTGTAGTCCCAGCACTCAGGAGGCTGAGACAGGAAGATCATTGCTATTTTGAGACCAGCCTGGGCTACAAAGTAAGCTCAAGGCCACCCTTAACTGCATAGCGAGACCCTGTCTCAAAACCATAAAAAAAGAAAAAACAAACAAACAACAAAATCTTTGCATACATGAGTTTTGAGGTGCAGAGACTGAGCTGTGGGTTTTATGAAGGTGGAAACCATGTTTGCCTTTTGAACTCGGGGTCTAGCTCAGTTCCTTTGCTTTTGTTTTTACTGAATGAAAAACAAATACATTGATGAATGAATAAGTGAATGAATTAACCACCTTTTACTATAAATAACTGTGCAACAGAAGGCACAGCTTTAGCAGGAAAGCTTTGTGGTAACCCAGGCTACCCTCAGACTAACAGCCTCCTGCCTGCTTGCGTCTTTTCATGTAAATCCAAGGAGTACAGAGTCTCTGACAGATATGGAATATTTATTATGAAGGGCAGGTATGATTCACATCGTAGCCCCAAATATTGCTACTCAAAGAAATTTGCACATTTTCCTTTGATTTTAGTAACTTCATGCTTTCAAAATCTCATGCTTTTCATGACGAAAAGCTAATAAAAAATAAGATACAAAAACAGACTGAACGACGAGCACACACCCAGTGAAGATATGGCCACACATCTTTACAGACTTATGAGATTTTTCCATTGGAAATGACTGGTCAACACGAGGCAGCAGGACAGAAGTGTGGCTGGCAATATTATTCTGCTCACAATACTCTCCTCCTTCTCCTTCTGGGCCAGTCACCCTTAGCCTTTGTTATGTGGCTCATGTGATACTGGATCCTTTAAGAAAGAGAACAGAGACAGAAAATAAAATGAGATCAGACTGAGTTACTTTTCTCATGGCTGAGACAAAATACCTGACACCCAAAGTTAAAGGAGGAAAGGTTTACTTAGCTCACAGTTTGTAGAGGTTTCAGTCCATAATCGGCTGCCTCCAAGGCAGGGTGGCTTGGCAGAGGGGCAGCAGTTCATGGCAGACAGCAGATAGCAAAGTAACAAGGGACCTTAACAGCATCCTTCTGCCCCTTTTCTCTTATCCAGACTACTTAAGGCGGGCAGGACTCACACCCTTAACCCCAGTGCCCTTAAACCTAGCATTGCTACATGAATCAATTCCAGCATCACACATTCTAGATCCAGCCACCTCTGAAAAAGCCCCACTTGTGATTGCATGAGGCTTCAGAGGGACATCTGGACACGAGCCATGACAAAGTACTTTCCTGATGAAGACAAATGAATGATAGATGAATGAAAAAATATATAAATCCTGTAATAAAGACAGTGTGGTTTGGAGGTTGAATGCATCTACTTCAGAATTAGACCTATTGAATCTAAAATTCTGGTTCTACCATTTACTTATGGAGTAGCCACATTCAAGTGTCTTAAAATGTCTCTGTCTTGCCATCCACCAGGGTGACTTGACCACTGAAGGTAACAGCTCACGGTATGCACTTGGAGAAGGCATTCAATACGACAGCTACTATTTTTGTGCTGAGGGAGACGATCTCAGTCTTAGAAATACAACCATTCATTCTCCTGCTTCAAAACCAGTTAGTGATAATTCTGCCTTCCCTTAACTTTCCAAATGCCTAAGCCTTGAGAGTTAAATGTTTGCTAATTGGGACAACAGATGAACCAGTGATAACAGCGACACAGACAGGCATAGCTGGGAGAGGGAGAACTATTTTTCATTTTCTGAAAGTCTTGTGTGAAAGTAGCTTTATGGCTCAGTGTTTATGAGCTTTGCTTTACAGCACGTTTGTGACTTAAAATGACTACCGTCATTGTAGGTAGTTGGCGCATGTACATAACACATCTTGAATTTGTTTACACCCTTTCCTTTCTCCTCTGTCCAACCTCCACTGCTTGATCTTCTTCCTATTTGAAAAAGATCTCCCTATTTCCTTTTATTTACCTTATTTTACTCTTTATTTAGACTTTGGTTTTCTCATGTAAGACAAACTGTATGTTATTTAACTTGTGTGTCTGATTTATTTCACTTATTATGATTTCAAGGTGCACCCATATTCCTACAAATGGTTCAAATTTATCCTTCTTAATGGCAGAGTAACATTCTGTTGTGTATAAATCCAACTAGGGACTAGGGGTTTAATGCCACTCTGCCACCATCTTTATTATTTTGGGCAAGTTATTTATTTACTTTTTTGGCACCAAGAATCAAACTCAGGGCCTTGCACTTGCCAGGGAGGCATTATTGCACAAGTTCTTTACTGCCTTAATCCTCAGTGTCCACTCGTATGAAATGACACAGCAGCACTTCCTATTAATGAGAGTCAGTCCATGTTCAGATGAAATTGGTGTGGGAAAGGCTTAGCACAGTACGTGGTGGATCTGAACATGCAGTTAAATTAGATCATAATGATAATGGTAAGTAAGTCATCTTGCCATTTGAATAAAAATCTAATGTCATTGAACAATTACTCATAAGGACTCAAACCAGTAGACTCAATTTGAAATTCAGTATTATTTAAACACATATTCATAACTAGGGTAAAAACTGATACTAATTTGAGCAGAAGTTTTCCCAAATAAATGATAGGCAATAAGCTCCAATTTGCCATTTGATTTCCTCAAAACTCTCTATTATTTTGTTCACACTCTCGCTAGCTTTTGGTTAGTGTTTCCCTTCTAACACACGTGTCAATATTTTACAGTTAACAAGTTTCATCACACAAAATATTCTTTATTTCCAAAAACTGCAAGTTCCAGCCTGGAACTAAATATGAAAGCCAAGGGTTGTGTGGGGAAGCCTAGTGATGTTACACCAAGCAACAAGGACAGTGGCACACACACGTTAGGTAGTAATTAAGAAGTTACCATTTGTTGAGCATCTTCTCCATATCCTGTCCTGTGTTAGGTTCTTTGCATATTCAACTTCATCCTCAGAATCTGGAAAAGTGAGTACTATAATGCTCATAGTTGGAAAGGAGACCTTGGGATCTGAGGCTGTTCTCTTAAGATCAAAGAGTAAAGAAGTGCAGAATGAGAGTGCCTGGCTTAGGTCTGCCTCTCTTTCTTAAGCCTTACTACTTCTCACCAGGAAACTGGGCATGCACAGAAGTCCATCAGCAAAAAGCCACAGCGGCCTGCTGGTGGCCACAGGACCATGCACACTGCTCAGGGCCACCCTGCGCCTCCACAGGATTGGCAGTAGATTTGGTCTCAAGTGAAGTGCATAGAAAATCTAGCAGCACCCAGCTGGAAAGACAAAGGCAGAAGGGACAGTAGTGTCTGACA